GGTACTTCCACACCGCATCCCGACAGATCTCGTATTTTGACGAATTCTCCATAAAACACGTACCGCGAGAACAAAATGCCAGAGCAGACCTCCTATCAAAACTCGCGAGTACCAAAAGGCCCGGTCAACACCGAACCATCATCCAGGAAACTCTGCACTCACCCAGCCTGGACGACAAAATCGTCAATGTCAGCGACAATGAAGAACTGGGGTGGATGGCAGACATCTGGAACTACCTGAAAGAGGGGACCCTGCCCAAAGACAAAGACGAAGCACGAAGGGTGAGAATGAGATCAGCCAAGTTCATCATCATAGATGACGAATTATTCAAGCGAGGGATTTCCACCCCACTGCTCAAATGCTTGACCACGTCTCAAGCAGCCTACGTCGTCAGAGAAATCCATCAGGGGATATGTGGAATGCAATATATATATATATATATATATATATATATAATGAAATAATGTTATTTAAATAAACTTTTCTATACACATTCTAGAGAAGAAAATAAGAGAGTATAAAGATAGAGGTTGTTAGATAACTTAAAATGACACCACGAACAAGTTCATGTATTTAAGTATTTCAATTTGTGCAAAACTCTTTTATTTAACTTTATCAAAAACTGAAATGCATAATATTGATTTTAACTTATAAAAGTATGAGTCATTTTACTTTCTAGTTTTTTTTTTCCTCTCAGAAGTGCATATTAAAAAGTTTATTTCAATAGTCTACGAAAATTCCATGTATTTAAGTTGTTTTTAGACGTATGGAACTTAATTTTTGCCTTATTTTTTTTATCTTATGCTGCATGATATTTTAGGAGAGGATGTGTGTGATTGGAGTGATAAAAGGGAGGGCCGAAGATAAAGGAAAGAAAAAAATGTTGGAGATATGGTTAATCACTTTGACCACTACTCTATCACCTTCCCTTGCCACTAAGCGAGGTCCCGGGAATTTCCCATTCACACTCAAAATGTTCCTTGTGTGGCACAATCTCGTGACATTTAGGTACTCGATCTTACACACAAGGAGATTAAAAAAGAAAAAAAAAAATTAAACCGGTGAACAAATGCAAATGAATGGTAACTGCAAACTTTGACTTATAATAATATTGTGCATGTAAATGAAGGATGAGTTTGTAACGTACATTGAATGTGTAGTGTCTTGTTATGCTCACTGCAAACTCAGGAAAGGAAGTTAAAACCCAAAAGCCAAACAACAGAGCTCTCACAGGAATGTGAGGGTAATCCATATTGTTGTGTGTTTCATGGTTGGGAAAATTAGCTTGGATTACTTATATATATATACTATACGAGAATATACAACTTTGTTGTTGTCTCAACGTTTGTGGTCCAGTTAGGCTGTTGGTCTTGTTGAATTTTAGAGTGGAAATGAAGCAATAATTTTGCAGTCTGCTATTTATATATACAATGGTTAATTTAGGATATAGAATAGTGTTGGAAACACGAAGTTTATTGAGAATTATAATAGTGGAGACTCGATGAGCAATGAGTGAAGCTTGCATAATTTTAAATTTTAATGTATTTTGGAAAGATGTGTCAAAATTTTATTTTATTTTATTTTCTTGCATATGTATGGTTGAATCCTAGAGGCAATGTTAGTCCCATTGTCAAGGTCAAGTTTACCTATTTCCTGGGACTTTGTGGTTGAAGGGTCAATTCAATTAGTTAAAAGTTTAGTTGTTTTATTATATGTTTCTTTAACATGAAAATATTGAAATATTAAATTAATGTCCTCAGACCCGCATGAAAAATATTCTAGAGATAAAATTAAGAGTTATATATTATTTATACATTGTTTTTCTACATTTATTTTAGACTCAGCCTAGATGGACCACTTACTAATGTGGTTTAGGGTAGAAACTCCTCTTTCTTTATATTATATATTGTTATTTTCCTATCTCTTTGGATTACAATATCATTGTACAACTAAAATTGTTCTAAATTAATGTCCTAAAACATTGGACTGGTGATCGGCCTACTTGGTGAGATAAGAAATTTTGTGATAAATGTGAGGTCGGTCGGTCCATTTAAAAACCTGTAAATCTAATACTTAAAATTAATCTCGATTAAATTAAACAGTTTTTACTAAATGAAATTCGACTAATTTAGTTTAGTTAAATTGTACTCGATCACTCTATTTTTATGAATTTATAATTTTAGTCCTTTTATTTTAAAATAAAGATATTTAGTTTTTTAATTTTAAAAATATAAAATTTTAATTTTTTAATTAAATTAATATTTATTAATTGTTAAGTTTTAACTCTTACTCTTACTCTTAATAAGTGATATTGCAACATCTAGTAATATGACATTTAAAAATAATATATAAATAAGATTTTTATTAATAAAATAAATTTCAATCTCCAATAAAAATATATATAATCAAAGATTTTGCAGTTATTTTTTAATTTTTATCTTTATGTTTTACGTTACAAAGTGTCATGTTATTTAAGTGATGGTAAACCCTAAACTCTAAACAAAGTCAATATTTAACGATTAATAAACATTAAATTTGTGATAGAACCAAAATTTTAATTTTAAAAAATAAAAAATTTTAAAAATAAAGAGACCAAAATTATGTATTAATAAAAATAGAGGAACTAAAAATAAAACTTAACTTTTAGTTTATTCATATTTTTAATTTCCTTCACATTTTTTATTCCATAACCTACCAAATCAGTGGTTGTTAATATTTTTATTTTATTTTATTTTTCAGTAAATCAATATAATTTATTTTTTAACTTAAAAATTTATTATTTCTGTATTCTTTTCACTTTCTTCCAATTACATAAGGTGTACGAGGAAATACCCATACCAGCAAAGTTCCTTTTCACGTTATTTTCAACATTACCAACTCAACTGACTAGTTAAGTTTTCATAACTCCAAAATGAAATGTAAGTGGCTCACACATTTTAATACGAGTTTTAGTGCTTCGTTCAGTTGAGTTCATCTTCTCAAAATAGGAACCTCAATGCAAATCATATTCATCAAGCAACATTTTAAGTCCAATATTTCCATCCAATAACTCTTATTTATTTATTTACTTTTGAGATTATTAAATACTCTATCATTAGTTCATTACACATTATTTATATGTATTTTTTGTAATTTTTTATAATTTAAGAAATTTACTTTTCTAACCCCACAATTTTAAATAATTCCAAATCTTCTATATTTTATCATCATTTATTATATAAAAACATTATTTATTAAATTTATTACACATTACTTATTGACACCCCCAATGAGTGTGGGAAGCTGTTCTAAAGCATTTACAATGGAGATTGCTTATAAACAACTCCCTGTGCCACATCACTGCCAAATCAGCATTGACCCACTTTATGGGTTGCTTAAATTATAGCAGAGTTTCTTGTAGATTGTCTAACAGAGAGCATCGTAGGGTGAGAGTGGAGGAAATTGATATTCAGAAAAATAGCTACGCAGTTGGTTTTTTTTTTTCTTTTAACTGCACAAGAACTTTTATTACTGAAAGCCAAAAGCATAAAAAATGCTTCAAAATCTAAAAAAGAAAAATGAAAATACTAAAAATAAATTTTAAAAAAATTATTTACTTAAATATATAATTTATGTCAGCGTGACAAGTATGTGAACAAAATGTTTTTGACCCCTAACACTATCCGTGAAGGTTGCAAATAAACAAAAAACATCCCCCAACAAGGCCCTGAACATTGAAGAGATTGGGCATTTTTTGTTCACTTTCTACACACTACTAACACTGAAGGGACATGAACAGAAAATGTCCCACAAGGCATTAGACGTTTTTTTGTTTCAAGTCCCATCATGTTAGATATGCAGCGACACATGCGAGACTACAACATCTGAGGTGTACCTGTCTGAATGACACACTAGTAATCTTCTCGTATTCTGAGGGTCGAACGAGATTTCTTATCGAATATTCCGGTGAGAGGGAGGGTACCTGCAAAAGGCACTCCAACGCTCAAGTCAGGACAAGCACAAATATCGATAATAATTAATGAACGTGACATTATCTCGTGACATGAGCTATTTATACTGACATTTATGGGCCCTGATCTCCATGGGCCTTGCAACAAGATTACGGTATTAGGTAATACGTCCCTAATCGGCTTATTGGTGTGATTAACCCTTAATTCTTGATTAAGGGTAATCTTTGAGTGTATGGTGTGCTTGGTGGCCGATCGGGTGTCGGCCACCAGGTTCGGCCATTCGGTGGTTGATGGGGTTTCGGCTATATGGTGGCCGAATGCTCTTACCCGTACACTTGCCCCCCAGCCTTGGAGAAGGGAAAGCCCTCTTCAAGGGTATAGTGATGAAGTTGATGTCCACGGGTAAGTCGAAAGGTTTGCGCAATCTGAACCGTTGGATCTTGAAAATCGGACGGTTACGCTTTTCAAAATTTTGAATTTTCTCGCCCCTTTTCTTGGCTATATATAGCCATGAGTGGTAGGGCCTCTCACGCGTATCGCTTTCAGCCGGGGTGCATTGTCCAAACGACCGTGAGCCCGAGTGATTACATTTGTGCTTCAAAAACCTTGGTAAGTGTTTATTGTCATGGTTGACACTCCCGAAAGCTCTTTTGCCAGCAGCTCTCGGCCATCGTCGTCCGAGGGGTCGTTGTCCAGTGATTCTAGTTGTCCAAGCATAGAAGTTCTGCCCCCAGTCCATGCTGAAAGACCTGATGGGTGTGCAACCTCTTCAGGGGAAACCTCCACTAGCGAAAGTCCTGAGGTTCGGCCCAAATCAAGGCGTGTTTCAAATCGACAACGATATGGGTCATCCGAGGTACTTGACTATGAATGGGTGAATGGGGAGGTGACATCGTATTACTCTCGCTACCAAGACACGACCATGATCACCAACCTTCTGGAGTATACCAATTGCCTAACTTTCGATGCTAAGGAGGAGCTGTACCCCATCGGTGTTCGGTCTTGTCGAAATAATGCCTTTCCGAACCCTGACATGGTTTGCCTGGACCAGCATTCCTCTAAAATGGAGTCGTTTTACATATACGATTGTCTTATTCGAGATCTCAAGGTAAAGTTGCCGTTTGAAGAGTTCACAATGGGTGTGTTGTGAGTTTTGAATGTTGCCCCGACTCAACTACATCCGAACAGCTGGGCTCAAATACAAGGCTTCAAACACTTATGCCGATGCCTTTGCATTAGGCCTTCGCCCCTTCTTTTTCTCTATTTCTACTCGTCTAGGCTATCCACATTGGCGAAATGGTTGTCTTTAAGCCGACTGGGGGATCGTCAACTACTGGATAGCTTTACCTCCTCTTACAAGAACTTTAAGGCTGGATTTTTCCGAGTGACCATTCGATCGAACAAACGATGCTTTTTCTTTGGCGAGGACGATAGAAGCTTATTTCCATTGTACTGGATGTGCGCCCCTCGGCCTTATGATGTTGTGCCGAAGAAGATGCTTTCGGCCGAAGAGCGGAAAGATTTAAAGTTACTACTTCATCTTCCTCGGCGTTTGCCGACCAGATGTCTGATCAACTTGGTTGAATCCCCTCAATGGGAGAACGACCTGATAGGTATGTTATCTGTCCCATTTTGGTCGTGCCCTAAATTCATATTGATGTTCACTTGTTCATTTTTGCAGGAATCATGGTGTCAAGTGGTGCCGACGAATTCAACATCCGAAACTTGCTTGCCGATCGAGTGAAGCAAGCCAAACAATTTGGAGCAGTTGGTAGCTCGACCATTGCTCGCACTCCCCAACCAGTCCAAGACGACCGAGTTCCCCCCTCCCCGAAACGCAAGCACCGAAGGGTGAAAAAGGGAAAGGGGGCCGATCAAGAAGGCCAAAAAAGAAAGGGCAACGACGAACGCCCGGAAAAAGCGAAAAAGTTGAAGCAACCTGCTGAGCCATCGCCAACATGGACCGTCATTGTGGTCCCCCCTACTTTGATGTCTCGCGCGTTTTTAAGTGACAATGTGTCCGCCGATACGTTGATTTGGCCAGATGTCGTGTCGGACCACGGGCGAGAATTCCTGGATCGGTTAGATACCGTGTCCAAGTGGAAGTACCTATGCAAGGTGCAATCACGCTCCTTGGCACTCGCACATCACTTGGCGATGGAGCCGATCAGTGAGTTGATGCGCCTGAAGCAAAGGGTTGAAGAGGCCGACAATGTCACTGCTGAAGCCCTTTCAACTACGTAGGATGTCACGGCCAAGAACTCAGAGCTTGCTGCCGAACTGGACGTCCTTCGGCGCAAAAATGACACTCTTCCATTGGATT